CTAACTTTTTCTCATTTATCACACCCTTTACTTCATCATTCCACCAATCACTCCTCTGTCCTCCTGCACCCACCCTCCTATAACCACAAACTTCTGCCCCACATTTTAATACTGCATTTTTAAAACTATTCCAACCCTCTTCAACCCCCCCACTACTCATACCTGCACCAGCCCACCTTTCTGCCAATAGTTGCTTATATTTCACCCGAACTTTCTCCTCCCTTAGTTTATACACTTTCACCTCCCTCTTACTTGTTGTTGCCATTTTCCTCTTATCCCATCTACCTCTTACTCGAACTGTAGCTACAACTAGGGAATCTGTCTCATGTCCCACCATTATTGTACAAGCGAGCGGCCCATGTCCTTTTGCATGCTATCTCATTATTTTTTAACAAGTCACAAGAAACTAGCACCTTCCCAAAACTACTCAAGACGGCAAGGGTTACACCAATACATAAAGGTGGTGACCCTACAGATTTAAACAACTATAGGCCAATATCAAACTTACCATTGCTATCCAAAATCTTTGAGAAACTCGTGCACAGGAGACTATATTCATTTATAACGGCACAAAACATACTCAACCCTTGCCAATTTGGATTCAGGAAAAATAAAAGCACTAACGATGCAATCATAAAAATGCTAGATCTACTTTACGCAGCATTGGAAAATAAGGAATATCCACTAGGAATTTTTATTGACCTAAGAAAAGCTTTTGACACAGTAGACCACGGCATCCTACTCCACAAACTTGACCATTATGGTATAAGAGGCCATGCGCTTGCATATTTCAAACCTTACCTTACTGATAGGTATCAGTATGTCACCATTGGAGATGCAGCATCGACAGCACAGCCACTTGATACTGGAGTTCCGCAGGGAAGTGTCCTTGGTCCCCTGCTCTTCCTCATATACATCAGTGATCTTCCAAAAGTATCTCAACACCTGAACTCCATTCTCTTTGCTGACGACACGACTTAAGTCATCTCTCACCCTAATCTTGCCACCCTCAACACCATTGTTAACGAGGAGCTGATCAAAATATCAACTTGGATGACAGCCAATAAACTTACGCTTAACACTGACAAAACCTACTACATTATGTTTGGTAGCAGAGCAGGAGTTGCACAAATTAACATTAAGATCAACAACACTCTAATTGCCAGACATAATGAGGGCAAATTCCTAGGCCTATACCTCGACAACAACCTGAATTTCAGCACCCATATCCAACACATAACCAAAAAAGTATCCAAGACGGTTGGGATCCTCTCCAAGATACGATACTACGTGCCGCAAACTGCCCTTCTCACACTATACCATTCACTTATATATCCATACCTCACCTATGCTATCTGTGCTTGGGGTTCAACTGCAGCAACACACCTAAAGCCAATAATAACCCAACAAAAAGCTGCAGTAAGAATAATCACTAAATCCCATCCCTGGCAACACACCCCCCACTCTTCATAGATCTAAACTTACTCCCTGTTCAGTACATTCACACTTACTACTGTGCAATCTACATCTACAGGACCTTAAATTCCAATATTAACCTTGACCTAAAATGCTTTCTTGATAGTTGTGACAGAACCCACAGGCATAACACCAGACACAAACATCTCTATGACATTCCCCGTGTCCGACTAAACCTTTACAAAAATTCAATGTATGTCAAAGGCCCTAAAATCTGGAACACCCTCCCTGAAAACTCTAGAACTGCAGACACATTCATCACCTTCAAAACTACCATTAGAAAACATCTCGTCTCCCTGATACACCCTGTCAGCTAATTACACGAATACCACCTGGTGGTTCTTACTTACACTCACTCACCCATTTGACCATAAACAGAAATATCAATCTCAATCTTAAAATAATGAATCCTAACTAGTCATAAGTTGGCCTGTGATACTCCAATACTGAAACTATGTATTATGCCAAAACAAAAGCATTCACATTGCTAAACTCACAAACTAGTATTTAGTCACTTAGCCATAATACCAACTTACCTCATAATTTGTAATATTTTAAATTTAAGATTTAATCTAAGTCTGCCCGAAATGCCTAGCCATGCTAGGTGTTCTAGTGGTACACTCTGTAATTATTATTTTACTACAAGTAAACCACACAATAACCAAATTCTGTAAACTCAGCATTGTAATCTTTATAGAGAATAAACTTTGAATTTGAATTTGAACTTGAATCAGTTGCCCCTCTATAAACATGTACATCCTGGAGCCTACCCATCAACCTTTTATCCACCAATACATAATCTAACAAACTACTTTCGTTACATGCTACATCATACCTTGTATATTTATTTATCCTCTTTTTCATAAAATATGTATTACTTATTACCAAACCTCTTTCTACACATAGCTCAATTAACCCTTTGAGGGTCGACAGGCCCTCTCTGAGACTCGTTCTCAGGGTCGGCCAAATTTAAAAAAAAAAAATAATTTTCTCTTAGGAAAAGATAGAGAATCTTTTCCTGATCATAATGACACCAAAAGTTTGAAATTTGATAAAAAACTTGCGGAATTATGCTCTCACGAAGTTAGCGGTCTCGGCAATGTTTACGCATCGGCGATTTTGCCCACTTTGAGCCCCATTTTCGGCTAATTCCACTGTACTAGTCGACAAAAAACATGAATATTTCGCTAGAACTCCATTTTTTCTACCGAATGAGTGCAAGAAACCACCCATTTATCAATTTCAACTATCCAGTACAGTGGTCAGAATTTAGCAATTTTGCTAATTTCACACAAATTTCAAAAGATGCCAATTTCCGAATAGGGTCCAGAATAAACAAGAAAGACATTTCTGGCACTAAAATGACATTTCCTCTGTTCATTAGTCACGTCTCAAGGCCCCTCTTACATTCTTTTGCTTTCCACTTTGAATTTTTATTCTCACAAAAAATAGAAGATTTACTGTTATGCAGACTACTGCATTAGTGTAAAAAAGGGTATAAATAATACTGGTGCACTTGCGAAAGAATATTAGACTCACCAGTTGACGTGTATTGGACGCTTGGCATGATTTGTTTACTTTTGAACTTTGGTAAAAATCGAACATTTCTGCTACTTTGAGCTCAATTTCAAGGTACTTTTCATTGTAAAACCAATCAAAATCATCTCAATTAATGTAATATGTCTTCCATTCTATAAAATGAGACCAAGAAAACTAGAATACAATAATAAATACCATATGAAAATACAGTGCAAAGTCGCTGTTTTATTCCAAAAAAACGGTCGAAGTTTTTTTTTTCTCATTATGCATTGTGTGCTGCAGGATTTTTTTTATACTGTGCACACTGACCACATAGACCCATTCTTTCATATGTAGGCCTATCAGCTTCCTCGCACTAGATTTGAGGGCACTAGAATTTAGGCGTACTAGTACGTCAAAAACCTTGGGTCGTAAGCCGTACTAGTACGGCCGAAACCCTCACAGGGTTAAAGGCTCCCCATTTTCATTTACCCCTGGCACCCCAGATTTACCTACTACTCCCTCCACAACATTTTTTCCCACTTTAGCATTAAAATCCCCAACCACAAGTACTCTCACACTTGGTTCAAAACTCCCCACGCAATTGCTCAACATTTCCCAAAATCTCTCTCTCTCCTCTATACTTCTCTCTTCTCCAGGTGCATTAACGCTTACTATAACCCACTTCTCACATCCAACCTTTATTTTACTCCACATAATCCTTGAATTAATACATTTATAGTCCTTCTTTTCCTGCCATATCTTATCCTTCAACATTATTGCTACTCCTTCTTTAGCTCTAACTCTATTAGAAACCCCTGACCTAATCCCATTTATTCCTCTCCACTGAAACTCACCCACCCCCTTCGGCTTTGTTTCACTTAAAGCCAGGATATCCAGCTTCTTCTCATTCATAACTTCCACAATCATCTCTCTCTTATCATTCGCACAACATCCACGCACATTCAAACTTCCCACTTTGACAATTTTCTTCTTTTTCTTTTTAGTAATTTTTACAGGAAAAGGGGGTACTAGCCCATTGTTCCCGGCATTTTAGTTGACTTTTACAACACGCATGGCTTACGGAGGAAAGATTCTTATTCCACTTCCCCATGGATATAAAAGGAAAAGTAATTAAAACAAGAACTAAGATAAAATCAAAGAAAACTCAGATGAGTGTGTATAAATAAACGTGTATATGTATGTTTAGTGTGACCTAAGTGTAAGTAGAAGTAGCAAGACGTACCTGTAATCTTACATATTTATGAGACAGACAAAAGACACCAGCAATCCTACCATCATGTAAAACAATTACAGGCTTTCGTTTTACACTCACTTGGCAGAACGGTAGTACCTCCCTGGGTGGTTGCTGTCTACCAACCTACTACCTGCTATAAAATGTATGTTTTGTTAATATTTTTGGGTGTTTGGAATGGTTTAATTGGATTTACATTATTTCTTATGGGAAATATTAACAAAAAATACATTTTATGGAGAAGAACTATTGTTTTGCATACAGAAAAGGGACTACTAAATTCGGGTGTGCTCCTGAACCTGTGAGATGGTCTAACATAGCATCACTATCACACATCAGATGTACATGTTGTACAAGAAGCTATTGTATTATTATTATTATTGGAAAACATCACCAAACTGGAAGTGCAGTACTGTTTATCACAGCACAGTGTACAAGAAGTATTGTGCTGTACATCATTGCACAATGTTGCAGTACTACTATTTTATTTTTTTGCCTAATAAAAAATTGTAGAAGTATGTTGTACTTGTCTTGTCTCTTGTGTTTGCATGGGTTAATAAATTCAACCTCTTTGTTTAATAATCACTGTCACACACATTGCAAGTGTATCAGTGCTTGTATTGATCATGTACACCACAACTGTAATTAATTCCTCTATTATGAGAACCTCTTAAATGAAGGTATATTTATATTATGTTTTTAATGTTGATATACAATCATACACATCAGTACCTGGAACATGTACCTGCAGAGTGAGGACCGGCAAAAGGCAGGTATCGCCTGGGCCAGGATCCGTGCAGCTCTCGACGTGCTCGGTGTCTCCCCTGATGAGCAGAATGCCATCTGGAGTGTCTTGGCTGCGGTATATCACCTGGGCACCGCTGGAGCTGTTAAAAGTTAGTTCATCACTTTTTTTTTATTTTTTAGCAGGCTTTTCCATCTCTCACCAGGACAGTGATCATAATGAAGGAAGTATTCACCATTGTTCATTCATTAGCTACCCAGACTTGCCCAGACAGACATTACAAGTGCTGACAGGCATTACAAGGGCCCAGACAGATATTACCTATGCCCAGATAGACATTACCAGTGCCCAGACAGTACAAGTGCCCAGACATTACAATTCAACTGACCCTTCAGACTGTAACATTCTCACTCCTCCTTCAGAGTGCAGGTACTATACTTCCCACCTCTAGGAGTATAACATCCTCACTCCTTCAGAGTGCAGGTACTATACTTCCCACCTCCAGGAGTATAACATCCCCACTCCTTCAGAGTGCAGGCACTATGCTTCCCACCTCCAGGAGTGTAACATCCTTACTCCTCCTTCAGAGTGCAGGTACTATACTTCCTACCCCCAGGCTTGTAACATTCCCACTCCTCTTTCAGAGTGCTGGCACTGTACTTCACATTTTCTGTGCTGCTTACCAGTTCTCCTGATTCCCTTCATAAATGTCACATTGCTCACATTCCAACAGCACATCAATTCCTTGATACCATGTTCTTCCACTCATTCTGATCTAATATGCTTGAACAAACATGCCTGCTGCATGCTCAGGCACCTGCCATTTAGAGGCTTGAGATTTTTGCTTACAAAAACATTTTCTCTTGACAATGCACTTGCATTATATGATAGAATAGTTGGACTACTGAGTTGTGAGGCAAACTTTAGGTACACTTGTCACCAGACCTTGGTCTAAGATAGTTTGTTTGCTAAATATAAACGCTGTGTATATCTGTAATACTCTGTAATACTGACATAAACATTTTTCATAATTCTCCTCATGTATGAAGTTTTTAAATCTTTAGATTTTAATGTTTATAATTGTTTAGCTCAAGATTTGTTTTATTTTGCATTTACGTTAGGTAAAGTTTGTCAGGAAACAGGATAAATGTTTCCTGATGTGGGTCTTAGTTGGAAATAAATGGTATAAAATACCGACACAATGGAAATATAAACACAAATGCAGTATAATGTGATCCTTTATTGACTACGTTTTGCCCACACAGTGGGCTTTTTCAAGTCACACAGACTTGAAAAAGCCCACTGTGTGGGCGAAACGTAGTCAATAAAGGATCACATTATACTGCATTTGTGTTTATATTTCCGTGGGTCTTAGTTATTTGATGACCTGCAGTGTTTTGTGTTGTTGTAGTTGCAAGTTGAGTTACATTATTGTATGTTTGTTGCAGCTGCAAGTGGGAATAAGTTCCAGTTCTGCAAGCCAGGTAGTGCCCAATGGGCAGCAAGACTTCTGGGCACCTCAGTGGAAGAGTTAGCACGCTCCATCTTCTATGCCACTCCCACCACACCTTCCAGCAGAGCTTCATTCAGGTGTGTTGTGAGGAAGGGAGGGAGGGAGAGAAGGGAAGAGAAAGGTGGTTGTGGGAGGATGTATAACTGTACAACATAATTATTTTATTTATATGATGTAAATGGTTGAGAAATTGTTAGTTTTCTAACCCATTTATATCATGTGTTATTTATCACTTAGTACAAAGGTTGGTCAAGGACAAAAGTGTTTGAGTCACTGGTCTTCCTACAATACAAAAGTAAAAGTGAGTCTGCACTTTCATTACACTGACTATTAGCAAAATCAGTGATATTTCAGTGTGTGAGGTGAGTCAGAAGGAGGACTGTATGTGCTACCATCTTGCCTTCGTGTTGATTATCTTATAATTTTTGGTGCAGCATAATAATATCTGGATAAAACAACATGACTTTGCATCAGTAAAATATATCATGCTTCATGTTTTTTACTTTCATTACATCTGAAGGGAGTAAATAACATAGGAGAATTAAATGATGAATGTTTGAAGGCAGCACTTGTCCCCTGGCTGACCAACCCCAAAGTAAGTGAGGTTTATGTTCTGCCTCACCTCTCACACACTCTGTCTCCTCCATAATTTTATCATAATCTTGCGAGCTTTTTCTTTTGTAACAACCTTGCATTTTAAAATTGCGAGATTGTATTCACTATCTGGTTGTTGTTCTAAAACTATTGCAGTTTTTGTGGATGCATAACAATAGACCAGGCATATCTTATATGTCTGGAACCTACCTATTTCAATTACTGTCACACAGCATGAAAAATAGGAGACTTGTATTGCAGTCACATTGCTCATCTCAGGTACTTGAAAGATATCCATGATCCTGTGACATGTGTACCAGAAATGAGGATGACATAACAACAGGAAGGATCTGAGGAGCCTCAGGAACTCCACTCAGATAATCAGTAATGCTCTGTTGGATTGTGTTGTAAGGTTGCAACCAAGATATTGCATCAAAGGGAATCACTTCATGAGGTCCAAAGATTAGTAGATTATCTTCAGACTCTTGTAGGCAACCAGAACAGACCTACTTCAGGTGAAACAGGATGCCCAACTGATGTTGACACTGGAAAAGTAAACACAAATATGGTACAATGTGATTATTTATTGACAATGCTTCACCCAGGTCATGAACTGTTATCAATAAATGATCGAATTGTAATGTATTTTGTGTCTACTCTTCCATCATGTAGGTGTATTATACCATTTATCTCCATGATGTTGATACTATTGATGAGGCCTGGAATTCTCATATTGAGATTAATGCACCAGCAACACACTGGTGATAATCTGTTTACCCCAGAGTGTTGCAAGCTTTGAAACATAATTGAAAATTCCATTACAATTTCTTTGGCCACCACAGTGGAAACAGATCCATAACCCAACAGTGAAGTAAGCCTTATATCTATCAGATCCACTCCTACACCTGACTGTTCTGACATCACTGCTCCATCACCTGCCAATACACCTGGCATCAGTACTTCTGCTAGCCCTGAGTCAGGTTATCGACCAGTAAATAAGAAGAACATAAGAACGAAGGAACACTGCAGAAGGCCTACTGGCCCATGCGAGGCAGGTCCAAGTCTCCTACCGGCTTAAGCCAATGCACCCAACCTAGTCAGGTCAGGTCACATAGACTTAAGGGAGGAACACGGCAACCGACCTGGTAGCACAAGCTATCAGGTCTAACTCACACCCACCCACATCCACTCATGTATTTATCCAACCTATTTTTAAAGCTACACAACGTTCTGGCCTCTATAACGGTACTTGGGAGTTTGTTCCACTCATCCACAACTCTATTACCAAACCAGTACTTTCCTATATCCTTCCTGAATCTGAATTTTTCCAACTTAAAACCATTGCTGCGAGTCCTGTCTAGGCTAGATATTTTCAGCACACTATTTACATCCCCTTTATTTATTCCTGTCTTCCATTTATACACCTCAATCATATCCCCCCTAATTCTACGTCTTTCTAGAGAGTGCAGATTCAGGCCCTTAGTCTATCCTCATAGGGAAGGTTTCTGATACATGGGATCAACTTTGTCATCCTCCTTTGTACATTTTCCAGAGAATTTATATCCATTCTGTAATAAGGTGACCAAAACTGTGCAGCATAATCTAAATGAGGCCTAACCAAGGATGTATAGAGTTGAAGAACAACCTGAGGACTCCTATTAATTTATGCTTCTTGATATGAAGCCAAGGATTCTATTAGCTTTATTGCGAACACTTATGCACTGTTGTCTTGGTTTCAGATTACTGCTAACCAGAACTCCTAATCTTTTTCGCAATCCGTAATATTAAGATCTACATTATTTAGTTTATATGTGGCATGGTTATTGTCCTGTCCAACATTTAGAACTTTGCATTTGTCTATATTAAACTGCATCTGCCACTTCTCCGACCACTGCATCAGTCTATTCAAATCTTCCTGGAGTGCTCGAATGTCCTCGTCAGAATGAATTCGACGGCCTATTTTGGTGTCATCGGCAAACTTGCCGATGTCGCTCTTTATGCCCTCATCTATGTCGTTTATGTAGATTGTGAACAGCAGGGGGCCCAACACTGACCCCTGTGGAACACCGCTCGTGACACTTCCCCACTCTGATTTCTCCCCATTTATGCAAACTCTCTGCTGCCTATTTGTCAACCATGCCTCTATCCAGGAAAAAATTTCTCCTCCTATTCCATGTGCTTTAATTTTCCTCAATAGTCTCTGATGTGGGACCCTGTCAAAAGCCTTACTGAAGTCCATATACACAATATCATATTCATTACCATGATCTACCTCCTCAAATACCTTAGTGAAAAAAGTTAATAAATTCGTAAGGCAGGAACGCCCCTTTGTAAAACCATGCTGAGATTCGTTGATTAATTTATGCTTTTAAAAGGTGGCTACGAACTGCCTCGGCAATTATTGATTTCCATAAATTTTCCACTATGGAGGTTTTAGGCTTTTTGGGTCTATAGTTCGAAGCTAAGGACCTGTCACCTGTTTTGAAAATAGGTATCACATTTGCCATTTTCCACTTATCTGGCACCATGCCAGTTTGTGTGATATGTTGAAAAGATTAGCCAAGGTGTGCTAAGCTCCTCTTTACATTCCTTTGAACCCTTGCATACAGTTCATCAGGGCCTGGGGATTTGTTGGGTTTAATTTATCTTTTTTGCCAAAGGACCATGTCACTTGTGACCCTAATAGAAACCACGTTTATTATAGTCCTGTTCTACATAATTTATCATTACTGGAATATCGCTGGTATCCTCCTGTGTAAAAAACTGAGAGGAAGTATGTGTTAAAAATTCTACACATTTCCTTATCACTGTCAGTGAGCTGACCCGGAGGAACTTTTGAGTGGGCCTATCTTGTCCCTGATCTTACTTCTGTATACCTGAAAGAATCCTTTTGGGTTAGTCTTCGATTCTCTTGCAACTTTAACCTCATAATCTCTTTTGCTTTTCTAATTCCCTTTTTTATTTCTCTTTTTAACTGAATATATCGATTTCTCAATTGCCCTCTCCTCTTTTGATTTGCTATATATGCCTCTCTTTTGACCAATCAGATATTTTAATCTATTGTTCATCCTTTTTAGGATCATTTTTGTTTGATCTGATTTCCCTTTTTGGGAAAACTAATTTGACTGAGCAGCTAGAACTATGCCTGGAAAGCATCATATCGGCAACCATCACCACCTACCTGACCCTTAGTCAGGTCATTCCAGTTCAGCCCACCTAAGTAATTTTTCAGTCCTATGAAATCAGCCAAGCGAAAGTCAGGGACGGAGACTTGATTGCCATTATTAGGGGAATTCCATGATATATTAAAAAATGAGTGATTTGTGATCACTTTCCCCAAGCTCATCATTAAACCTCAAGATTATTTAAATTAGTGTTTCCCTACTGGCAAGAACCAAGTCAAGGAGGTTATTTCCCCTAGTTGGTCTGTCACAAACTGTTTTAAAAAACAATCCTGGATCGTATCAAGAAAGTCACCTGACTCTAAATTTCCTGTCAAATTGCTCCAGTCAATCTGTCTATAGTTGAAATCTCCCATTAGCACAACATTTTCGTATGTAGATGCCTTACGAATTTCGTCCCATAGAAGTTTACTGCACTCCCTATCAAGATTTGGGGCCCTGTAAATCACACCCAAAATTAGTTTTTCTCGGCCCTCGAGAAGCTGTAACCAACCAGATTCAGTGGCTGACGCTTCTAATTTAATATCTTGTCTAACACAACAATTTAAATTGTCTCTGACATACATCGCTACTCACCACCTTTCCTGTTGACCCTGTCAGTGTGGAATAATTTATAGCCTTGTATGTGACATTCAGAGGGCATCTCTCTATCTTTCAGATTGAGCCAGGTCTCTGTTATAGCAATAATATCTATGTCTCCTGCACTTGCAATTAATCTTAGCTCATCTATCTTATTTCTTACACTCCTGCTATTAGTATAGTAAACCTTAAGGGAGCTAGTCCCTTGCTGCCCTCTGCTGTCCCCCTTTGTTTGCTGACCTGATCTATTGTCTTTATTTATAACTTCATGCTGAATGCCTTTTATACATTACTGTTTCCAACCCAGGTGTTGCAACCTGCTTGTTTCCCACACACACCCATACCTCTATCTTCCATCAGTTTAAAATCATAGGCATTTCACCAATGGCCTTCTCAATCGAGTCTGCAAGTGCTACCACCCCAGCCCCAGAGAGATGTACCCCATCCCTTGCATACATATCATGTTTGCCATAAAAGTGTTCCAGTTGTCAATGAATGGGATTGCAAGTTCCTTGCAGTATCTGTCTAGCCAGCAATTTACACCAATTGCCCTAGACAACCATTCATTTCCTACTCCCCTTCTAGGCAAGATGCTACATATGATTGGGATCCCTCCCTTAGACTTAATGAAATCTATAGCTGACCTGTACTTATCTAGCAGCTCTTCTCTCCTACCCTTCCCAATATCATTTCCACCAGCACTGAGACAGATAATGGCTTGC